GTGTCCCCAGGAAGGGTGGCAGCAGGGGACAGTCCCCGCCGTGTCCCCAGGACCCCGAGTTCGGGGTCTCTCGTGGCATCGATTTCCAGAACGTCGCCGCCGTCATCAACTTCGATGTCCCCAACTCGGTGGAGACGTACATCCACCGCGTGGGCAGGTCTGCACTGTGTCACCTGTGTCACCTCAGTGTCACCTGTGTCACCTGTCACTGTGTCACTGTGTCACCTGGGGCTTGGGGGGTCACAGCTTCGATGTCCCCAACTCGGTGGAGACGTACATCCACCGCGTGGGCAGGTCTGCACTGTGTCACCTCGGTGTCACTGTGTCACCTGTCACTGTGTCACCACAGGGTCACCAGGGTGTCCCCCAGGTCCCTGTGTCCCTGTCCCCATGGTGTTCCCATGGTCCCTGGTGTCTGTGTCCCCGTGTCCCTGTCCCCGTGTCCCTGTCCCTTGGGTGACCCCAGGGTGTCCCTGTCCCCAGGGGTGTCCCCATGGTGTCCCTGTCCTCCATGTTCCTGTTCCCGTGTCCCTGTCCCCGTGTCCCTGTCCCTTGGGTGACCCCAGGGTGTCCCTGTCCTCCATGTTCCTGTCCCCGTGTCCCTGTCCCCGTGTCCGTGTGTCCATGTCCCCTGTGTCCCTGTCCCTGTGTCCCTGTCCCTTGGGTGACCCCAGGGTGTCCCTGTCCTCCATGTTCCTGTTCCCGTGTCCCTGTCCCCGTGTCCCTGTCCCTTGGGTGACCCCAGGGTGTCCCTGTCCTCCGTGTCCCTGTCCCCATATCCCTGTCCCCACATGTCCCTGTCTCCATGTCCCTGTCCCCGTGTCCCTGTCCCCATATCCCTGTCCCCACATGTCCCTGTCCCCGTGTCCCAGTCCCCGTGTCCGTGTCCCCACGTGTCCCTGTCCCCGTGTCCGTGTCCCCACGTGTCCCCACGTGTCCCTGTCCCCGTGTCCCTGTCCCCATATCCCTGTCCCCGTGTCCCTGTCCCCACGTGTCCCTGTCCCCGTGTCCCTGTCCCTATATCCCCGTCCCCATGTCCCTGTCCCTGTGTCCCTGTCCCCGTGTCCCCGTGTCCGTGTCCCCACGTGTCCCTGTCCCCGTGTCCGTGTCCCCACGTGTCCCTGTCCCCGTGTCCCTGTCCCCATATCCCTGTCCCCGTGTCCGTGTCCCCACGTGTTCCTGTTCCCTTGTCCCTGTCCCCGTGTCCGTGTCCCCTGTGTCCCTGTCCCCGTGTCCATGTCCCCGTGTCCGTGTCCCCACGTGTCCCCACGTGTCCCTGTCCCCGTGTCCGTGTCCCCGTGTCCCTGTCCCCACGTGTCCCCGTGTCCCCGTGTCCCTGTCCCTATATCCCTGTCCCCGTGTCCCTGTCCCCACGTGTCCCCGTGTCCCCGTGTCCGTGTCCCCACGTGTCCCTGTTCCCTTGTCCCTGTCCCCGTGTCCGTGTCCCCACGTGTCCCTGTCCCCGTGTCCCCGTCCCCGTGTCCCTGTCCCTTGGGTGACCCCAGGGTGTCCCTGTCCCCACATGTCCCTGTCCCCGTGTCCGTGTGTCCGTGTCCATGTCCCCACGTGTCCCCGTGTCCGTGTCCCCACGTGTCCCTGTCCCCAGGACGGCGCGTGGGGACAGCCCTGGCACGGCGCTGACGCTGGCACTGCCCGAGGNGTCCCCGTGTCCGTGTCCCCACGTGTCCCTGTCCCCAGGACGGCGCGTGGGGACAGCCCTGGCACGGCGCTGACGCTGGCACTGCCCGAGGAGCTGGAGCGGCTGCGGCGCATCGAGGACGCGCTGGCGGCAGGTGGCACCTGCGGACACCGGGGGACACCGGGGGGGTTTGGGGACACTGCAGGGACACTCGGGGGAGTTGGGGACACTGGAAGGGGTCTGGGGGGGATTGGGGACACCGAGGTGACACCGAGGTGGCACTGGTGACACTGAACGTCCCCAGAGAACGGGCAGCCCATGCTGCAGCCCAGTGGGTTCCGCACGGGGATTTGGGGACACTGGGGGGGTTTGGGGACACTGGGGGGGTTCGGGGACACCGAGGTGACACTGGTGACACTGAGGTGGCCCCGTGTCCCCAGAGAATGGACAGTCCATGCTGCAGCCCTACGAGTTCCGCATGGAGGAGATCGAGACGCTGCGGTACCGCTGCAGGGTGAGGGACAGCGGGGACACTGGGGACAGCAGGGACACTGAGGGGACACTGGGGACACTGGGGACACTGAGGGGACAGCGGGGACACTGAGGGGACACTGGGGACACTGGGGACACTGAGGGGACACTGGGGACACTGAGGGGACACTGGGGACACTGGGGACACTGAGGGGACATTGGGGACACTGAGGGGACACTGGGGACACTGGGGACACTGAGGGGA